CCCCCCGCGCCCGCCGGCAGGGGCGTCTACTCCAACCCGGACTTGGTGTTCGCCGAGGCGGTCTCGCACCCGCCCAACCCCGCCGTGCCAGTGCACCCGGTGCCTCCGCCGCACGCCCTGGCCGCCCACCCCTTGCCCTCCTCGCACTCGCCACACCCCCTCTTCGCCTCGCAGCAGCGGGACCCGTCCACCTTCTACCCCTGGCTCATCCACCGGTACCGATACCTGGGCCACCGCTTCCAAGGTACGTGCCACGTCGCGGAACCGCAGCGCGCCGCTCCTGCCGCATCCTCCACTGCCCCAGGCCTACTCCGGGTGGGCGCTTGGCGAGGCCTGAACCCAGGCTCCCCCGGCTCGCTGGCCCGAGCGCTCGGTTCCGAAACTGGATCCGAAGGGACTAAACGGGGTGCCGATCCCGTCTCCGAAGCTGTGGCCGGTTTGGGGTGCTGGCCTGCGGGCTGATGAACCCTCCGGGAAGGGGGCGGACGGAGTTTGGGCGGGAGACCTGAGACCTGGGACAGCCAGCTCTGCCAGCCCGCCGCCGGGAGCCCAGAGCCCGCGGCGAATCCAGGCCGCCCTGGCTCCCAGATATCGGACAGGGCCCAGCCGCCAAGGCTCGCCTTCGACCACGTTCGATCCTGTTCGCCACCAGTTCCACACCCCTACGCCCAGGCCCGCGATTTCTGTTTTCGATCTCTTCTGGAGGCGAGGGGACCCTGGCGCCCCTGGAGCAAAACGTGGGGGGTTATTTTTTTCCTCCTTTTTGGAGGCCCTGAGAAGGGCGGAAACTCGCGCGGGTAGAAACCTCTGGGACTCGGCGTTCACGCCGCGACCTGCTTCACTCGGGCGCCGAGCGGCCGGGGCGGCAAGGCAGGTTCGATCTGGTTTTTGTTTTTCTTTCTTTTAAAAGATATGGTAAGATGGCCTGGGACAGGAAAATCTGTTTGGGAGTTTTCACTTCTTGCTATTTACAAAAATTGTTTGTTTTTCTCTGAGTCGAGGGTGGGGTGGGAGGAGAGTTAAAACTTCAGAAGAGGAGCGAATAATTAGTTTGCCGACCAGAGTCGGTAAAAGACCTATCTCAGCCGGCAGGCGATCAATACTCGGCGGTTGGTTCATTCATTAACCCTTTGTGATCCTGCCCGAGCCTAGGATCCAGTAGATGTACCCTCCACCCCGTAATTAAAAAACAAAACAAAACCCAAAAATCCTTAGCCTTTATGGCTGGACTGGATTTGTCTGCATTCTCGCCTGGATTGTCGGTTTGTTTTTCTTTGGTTGTTTTGGTGAATCGATTTTCTGCTGTCATGAGTGAACCTGAAACTCTGGCGTTGCTCTCAAAGTTTGGGGCTCCCCTTTCTCATTCTGGACCAGCTGCGCTCTCGGTCCTCCCACCAGACTCGAAGCAGCCAGAAACTGGTGGGGCGGAAGGCAGTCCTAGGGGGTGACCGCGTCTCCATAAGCCTCGGGTTTCGATTTTTTTCCCCTTGAGTCTCTATTCTAATTCTCCGGAACCGGGGAGCCCCAGAACCGGGTCCTCTGGAGGCAGAGGCGGGAGGAG